AGTTTTCTGCTTCCCTCCTAATCTTGGTTGCATTAGCTTTGTTTGTGCAAAAACTTTTCAATTTAATGTAATCAAAATTATCCATTTTGCATTTCATAATGTTCTCTATCTCCTATTTGGTCTTTAATTCTTCTGTTCTCCATAAATCTGACAGGTAAACTATTCCTTGCTCTCCCAGTTTGCTTGTAGTATCAGCCTTTATATCTAAATCATGAACCCATTTTGACTTTATTTTGGTATATTTTGGTGTGAGATTTTGGTCTATGCCTGGTTTCTGCCGTACTCTTTTCCAGTTTTCCCAGCAGTTTGTGTCAAACAGTGAATTCTTATCCCAGAAGCTGGGGTCTTTGGATTTATTAAACAGTAGATTACTATAGTCATTGACTACTGTCTTGCATACCTAACCTATTCCACTGATCCATCACTCTATTTCTTAGCCAGTACCAAGTAGTTTTGACAATCGCTGCTTTATAATACAATTTAAGATCTGGAACAGCGATGCCCTACAGTTTTTTAAGGTTCTACCTTCTTCATCTTTTTTTTTTAAATTGAGCCTTGCTCATTTCTAATCCTGTAACATTTCCTCACTCCCCTTGATTACTAAAAGATCATGGATGGCACTTAAGCAATCGTATCTTCAGACTCTCAACTAAGCAATCTGGACACATTTAGGGTAGCTAGATGCTTTCTTGTTGTTGTTCATTCATGTCCAACTCTTTGTGACCTCATTTGAGGTTTTCTTGGCAAAGATACTAGAGTGGTTTGCCATTTCCTTCTCCAGCTCATTTTACAGATGAGGAAACTGAGGCAAACAGGGTTAAGTGACTTGCCCAGGGTCACACAGCTAGTATCTGAAGCCAGATTTGAAATCAGGAAGATGAGTCTTCCTGACTGCAGGCCTGGCACTCCATCCACTGTGCCACCTACCTGCCTCGGGTGCTCTCTTACTACCTTCTAATTCATCTTGAGTCTGAAATCCCACTTGATCCTTTTTGGTTTCTCTTTTTCAGCATAAAGACTGACCATCACAGAGAAAACATAAGTAAAGTAGGATCTATGTTAGGACAGTGTTACTGTCTTTCACTTGTAGATACCACTCCATGCATTATAAGCAGACTAAGTTGTATGAAGTACCCTCTTTGGGGCTACTCCCCAATACATATTCAGAGGTTGAGTTTCCAGGGAAATGACTACCCCAGTCTGGTCTGCAGACTTACAATAATATCTCATGAACCCCCACAGGTGTGCTTGCCCTTGCCAGTAGGCATAGCTCAAAGCAAAAGCAATTACTGAGATGACATTGTAAGAACTACAGTAATAAAATATTCTGCCTCAAGTACCTGGGGCACACTTCTCTACAATTACATAGCAACAGTGGGAAGTGTGGGCACATACATAGAGTATACCAGTAGAGAAGTACGGATATAAGGAATATACCTAGCTCTGGCAACTCACACCTCTAGCAATGCACAACCCAATATTCCTCCCTTTCTTGTAGTATCCTCATGCTGTTACAAAGTGTTTTTCCTAGGTAGAGTGCTCAGCCAAGCTCCCTTGGCATGTTGCTCTCAGCAGCTCAACTACTAATGGTCTTCCTTCTCAATTCACAGAGCTAACACTTTTTAATGCTATTTACTGCCTAAACACTGGGTTTGCTCTCTGCTGACTGCAGATATTAGTATCTCCTAATAGGTAAGGAGCTCTGTTGCAAGATGCCATGACAAGAAGAGAGAAAAATTCCCTCCTCCTAGAAGTGAGGAATAATTCCCTCTTAAGGAAGATGTTCTTCCATAGCTGATTCTTTTCTCTGCTTCCAGAAGTCACCTTTTAAGAGCTGCCTCCTACATTACCTGCATCCTTAGACTGTGTTTCACTTTTGAAAGGACCGTTAAGGATGCAGCCAATGCTTGGCTAGCCAATAGCTGGCTTCCTACTAATCACATCAGTTTTGATTAGAGGAGTTCTTTACACTTTCAAACAGAAACAAAGTATTAACTTTTCTTTACATTTTAAGATTCTAAGGCCTCTGTTCCTTGACTTTTATCTTCTAGGAGTTTATTAGTGGAATTGGGGAGAAATCAGTTGATCAGGGATGTCCTGATAAATTTTCCCTTCCCTCCCCAAAAGATTAGGAGCTATGGTGTACAAACCAATCAATTACCAAGCTGCCTCCAGACTAAACTAATTAAACTCCTCTGGGAGTGGGGCTCTGAGTTTCCTACATTCTGTACTAAAAAGGGAAAATTCCTGGGATAAAATATAGTACCTATCATCCAGGGAGCAGGTCCAGTGTGAACAGTACAATATCACTAAAAAGGTATCAGTGGCCTTGCAGCATCAGAGACCTAAGTTGCCTCTCCAGATGTGTGTGCTGTTCACACATGTTCCTTGCATGTCTCTCCCTTCAAATATTCTCTTCTTTCATTCTTCCTGCTGAAGCTGCATTTGTGGGACAGTGTGCCCCAAACTTGTATATGAAATCTTTTGTTGCTCCTTTTTTAAAAAAAAATTCCATCTCAATAAATGCCTTTGCTTTGAATTTAAAAAAATTAGTACCCTTCACCTATCTATATTTCCATTGAGTATTCCATTTGAAATTTTTGCCAAAAACTTTGCTTAGCTCTTACTATGTTTCTAAGTTCATTCCCTAGGATTAATACTCTCTATTTCCCAGTTGTGGACGTTGCTTTCAAAATGTCAAAAAGTGAAGGATTTGTGGTTTTTTGGTATGAGAATTCTTTCCATCTAAACAAATGGCAGCTCACCTATAATTTAGTGGATAAGCCTTAATAAGTTGCCAGAGACTCACAGAGACAGAGTGACTTGCCCATGGTTATATAGCTAGTAAATACATTTGACATACATTTGAAATTTGGTCTTCCTAACATCAAGCCTTGCACTACATCCACTGCACCAAGCTGACTCTCTTTTAAAAAGTATATTAAACAAGACTCAGGGTCACCTTCACACCATATTGAGATATTAGAATGACTTTATCAGACATGGATATGTAGTAGAAGAAAATAACCACTACATTGTCATAAATGAAAGACATATTAGAGATTAAAAAATAAAATATGAATTAAAGGCATAAAAAGGTATATTCAACAAGAAAAGAAAGGAAAAAGGATATAACACAGGGCCAAAGGTGGTAAAACTTTAGGTAAGCCAGAAAGGAGACACAGAATAAAAACACTCTATTTGCTTGATTAATTCATTTGTTTTTTTCCTTGTTAAAGGTTAGGAGTTTTGAATAAAATTTTTCTTTGTCTTATTTACGTTTTTGTTTTTATTGACAGTTTTTTAATTTACAATTGTAGTGAATGTTTTGGAGATGCTCTCTTAACTGTCACTGGCAATGATAGGTAAGTTCTCCAGACAGTAACTACTACCTATTCTCTTAGGGCTCTAGGGGGAGCGCTAAGTCATGAGTCTACATGGAGGTGCTTCCTTCCATGATTATTAGTTGATATCAATTAATCAGACTTTATTAGCTGTTAAAAACAAGTATTTACTTCAGTGGTATAGATGATACAAAATATCCCCCCAAAGACCTGTGTTCATTTTTTACTTTTTCCTAACTGTATATATAAAGTCCAGGGGAAAGTGAGTTCAAGTTTGGAGATCTTGGAGATCTTGGAAGACCTTGGAGATCTTCCAGGGTAAGTCCTGGAAGTCCTTTTGCTGGAGTCTTCAAGATGTTCGCTTTAGCATTGGTATTTTCCTGCTGAATTCCCTTGTAGAGCCTTGAATCTGCTTTTCTAAATCATGTGCAAATTTTCTTTGGCACCTGTTGCAGACACTGCTGCTACTGTTGGTATTCTGGGGATGCTGCTAGGATGCTGATGAAAAGCCTTAATTTTCTCACTATCAGAAGTCCACAAGGTTCTCTTTTAGTCATGTGGGGAAGGACGAAGGGAGATAAAGGCCCAGGCACTCTTCTCTCTCCCAAGTGACCCCTTAGAGCTTGGCTGGAAGATTCCTACCCTAAACTATTACATTCTAAAAAATAAACAAACATACAAAAAAACAACCCACAATTCCCAACTGGATCACTATTTTAAAGATTACTCTCAGGGTCTGACCAAGTTTCCCCAACCAATTTAAACACGCTTCCTGTGTAACATCATTCCCGTTCATCCAGTGGTTTTCAAAGATATCTAAATTTGGTCAAAGTTTTTCCTCGCTTAGTCTAAAGCCTATGACTGATTAATTCAGTAAGAAGTATTCTTATCTGGTTAAAATATCAGGGCATAGCATCTTAACACTAACTTTAAGTGGGATGAAATAATTTGATTTACTCAGTTGCCCCCCTTACACAATACATTTTTTCAAAAGTATATTTATGTATGTTTTCCCAATTAGAATGTAAACTCTGCAAATGAGGAGTTTCCATTTGTTTTGTATGCCTGCAGAGGTCCAATAATCAGTACTATGTTCAAGATATGTCATTAACAAACTGACTTATTCATGGAGCTGCCCAGCCACAGATCCAGTCATCTGTTTATTTACCTATTCAAACTTCCACCTATGCTTCCATTCTCTTGTTCTAATGTTCCAATACCCAAAACAGTTTGGCCCAAAGTAGTCTGCTCTGAAAATCAGTTGGTCCCAAACAATCTAGAAAGCTTTAGTTTAAATGAAAAACTCGTCAAAAAAAAAAAAAAGAAAAAAAGAAAGATTTGTCCCCAAATTGCTTGCAGAACAGCTTGACTGTTTAACAGGATAGTCCTAAACATTTGACCATCTACATCTCCATCTCCATCTCCATCAAGGTGTCAATGCACGCACTGCTTTGGGGGATAATCTCTCCATACAGAGAGCACACATTCTAGTCTAAGTATACAATCCTCTGATGTAACTGGCACACACTATTCAAGAAGTATTCATACCATTTTAAAGATATGGATAATTTTATTTCCATAAACATAATTTTTACAACTGTATTAAAGGTTTGAATAACCGCTTCCCCACAGATCAGAGAAAAATAAAATAAATAATGTTTTTGTTATTTTATCCATTTAATCTTCTGTCAGTTTGATGTTTGAATTTTTAAATCAAGGCATAACTCAGGATTTGAACAAAGATCACATACAAGTTAATATTTCATAGGGGATTCTCTCATTATAAATTTTTCACAACTTTAGATTAAGCTTCTTCGAGTTCTACAAGGACTCCTCCACAGTCTTTAGGATGAAGAAAAATGACTGGTTTGCCATGTGCACCTATTTTAGCCTTGTCACTCAGAATACGGATCTTCTTTTGTTTTAAATCTGCCACAGCTGCTTCTATTTCATCCACCTTGTGAAAAGAAAAAAAAAATGTGTTTAAGGACATCCAGTCACCAAATCCTGATGCTGAAATGATCCTGGAGAGATCATCTAAACCAGCGGTGTCAAACTCAAATAGAAACAAGAGTCACTAATCCATAATAAGGATCCCTGTGGGCTATGTATTTATTTAGTTTTAAAATGTACTATTACATAAGTTTTATTGTATTTTTATTTTGTTAAATATTTCCAAATACATTTTAATCTGGTTTGGACTACACCCGTTGTAGGCTGCTTGTGACCTGCCAGCCGTATGTTCTAAACTACATCCTTTGTCTTCCGTCAGGACTACACAAATCATCCAAAACACATTAGAATCTTACTTTTAAAAATTTCCAGGGAAGGAGATTGCTGAATTTCTCTTTGTTAGAAATTGTAATTCTCATGGGTAAATTGTATGAATTGAACTACATGTCCACTGAGGTCCTTTATACCTCTCAGATTCTGTGAAATTCTTTCCTACTATCCACAGGTGCCTCATTTATCTTTCAGACTAAAAAAAGCTGGGTACCATCCTGACTGCAAAAGCTTCATATGTGGATAGAAAAAAAGCCTTATTGCTTTCAATGAGTTCCAGTCACCAAGCCTGGATAAATCAACACCCATGGGTACTGAAAGAACTCACACATGTGAATGCTGAGCCACTGTCAGTGATTTCTGAAAAATCTTAGGAGAACAGGAGAGGTGCCACACAACTGAGAAGTGCAAATGTCCCCATGCTCCAAAAATGGAAGAAGGTGGAATCCTCAAACTACAAACCTATGACATTTACTTTAATCCCTAGCAACATTCTTGAACATATTAAAGTGATGAACTGTGACTGCTTGGAAAAGGAAGAATGCTTTGGAAGAGCTGGCATTGCCATTAGTTTCATTTATGGAGAGAATGTCAATATCAGTATGGTTCAGTTCCTACACTAGAATTCCTATTTGCTTTGAACAATGATCCCATACTTAGAATACCAAGACTTACATTAGTTAAACTAATTGTTTTCAAACTGTTTGAAAAGGGTGTGATTCTTAGAACTGTCTTTGCTCTTTTTTTAGTGCTTTGCCACATTCACTATAGAAACTACAGGAGGACTATTTCGTATTTTATTTCATGGGCTGTCATGGCTAGAGAATTCAACACCTAATGACCAATCTACTGGTGATAAGCCTCTTTAGAATATGATCTTATGTTGTATTAATAGAGAAACAAGGTCCAAAATGAGGAAATGATAGTCTGGGGCAGCTAGGTGGCACCATGAACAGAATGTGAGTTCAAATCCAGTCACAGATAGCAGTAAGGGGAAAAGAAATGCAATTTGATAAAAACTACTGGGAAAACTGGACAGCTGTCTAGTTTAGACCAACACCTCATGCCATATACCAAGAGGAGTTCTAAATTAATACATGACTTAGATATAAAAGGTCACATCATAAACAAATAAGAGGTACAAGGATGAAATTATCTTTTGGATCTATAGATAAGTGAAGAGTTTATGACTAAATAAGCAATAGAGAGGCTTATTCAAGTTAAAATGTTCAATTTTGACTACATTAAATTTAAAAGTTTTTTTTTTTTTTTAGCTAGGGAATGGAGTTAAGTGACTTGTCCAGGGTCACATAGCTAGTAAGTGTTATGTGTCTGAGGCCGCATTTGAACTCAGGTCCTCCTTTACCCAGGGCCGGTGCTCTATCCACTGTGCCACCTAGCTGCCCCAATTTAAAAGTTTTTGCATAAGGAAATTAATGTAGTTAAAATCTAGTAAACTAGTAAATAGGAAAAAAATCTTTGCAATAATAATATGATAAAGGTCTCATGTCCAGTCTTTGCAATAATAATCTGTTAAAGGCCTCATATCCAAGATAATATAAGAAACTGATTTAAATTTCTAAGACTAAACCATTCCCCCAATAAATAAATGTTCAAAGATATGAACAGGCAGTTTTAAAAGGAAGAAATCTGACTTATCAACAACCAAGTGAAAAATGCTCTAAGTCACTAATATTTAGAGAGATGAAAATTAAAGCAACTCTGAGGTTCCACCTCATAATCATCAGACTGGCCAAGATGACAAAAAAGGAAAATTACAAATGTTGGAGGGGTTGTGGGGAAAAAAGCATACAAATACACTGCAGGCTGAGTTGTGAACTGGCCTAGCCATTCTGGAAAGCAATTTGGAACTATACCCCAAAAGATACTAAAATATGAATACCCTTTGACCCAGTATACTACTATTACTATACCAATACTAGGCCCAATAACCCAGAAAGATCAAAGAAAGAAAAAAAAAGATCTTTATGTATCAAAATAGATGCAGCAGCTCTTTTCATAGTAGCCAAATATTGGAAACTATGGAGCTACCCTCCTAATTAGAGAATAGTTGAACAAATTATGATATATGGATATAATGGCATATTAGTGTGCCATAAGAAATGACAAAATGGACAGTTTCAGAAGAAAATGGGAAGCCCTCTGTGAAATGATGCAGAATGAAGTGAGCAGAACTAGAAGAACAATTTTTACGACAACCATGTTGTAGGGGAAAAAACACACACACAAAAAATTGAAAGACTTTATTACTCATATCACTGCAATGATAAGTCACAAGTCCAGAACACTGAAGATGAAACATATACTTCCTGCCAGAGAGATGATGAACTTAAAAATGTAGAAACTGGCATACATTTTCAGGCATGACCAATGTGAGAATTTGTTTTGCTATACTCTGCAGGGTTATAAGAGTATTCCTTTCCCTTCCTTCCTTATTTCTTTCCTTCTTTCCTTTTCTTTCTTATTCATTTATTTTTTTTGAAAAAGAGCCATTTCAATTTAGGGATGATGTTGGAATTCAGGTTGCAAAGGATTAAGAAGAGAAAAGAGGAGAGGAAGTAGAGGTTAAAAAAATAGCTTTTTCTAAAAGTTTGACTGAATAAGAGAGATGCTCATTTAACAGAATGATAGAGTCTAGTGAGGGTGTTTTGAAGATGGGGGAGACTTCAACATGTTTGTAGGGAAGGAGGAAGGAACCAGTAGGTAGGAGTTGAAGATTAGAGGAGAGGAAAAAGAGAGAAAAGGAAAGAGAGGATATGAGGGGGCAATCTACTGGAGAAAACAATAGACGATGGGATTAAAGGAATGTGTAGTGGGGTTACCCTTGGTAAGATAATAGCCCACTTTGTCAGAAAGAGTAAAGGAGGAGAGAATGGGTGAGGGGTGTCAAAGAGCTAGGAACTACAGAGGAGAGAAGAAGGAGATCACAGCAAACAGTTGCTATTTCAACAGTAAAGTATGAGGTAAGGTTCTTAGCTATGAGACTGGTGGAGGGAAGAGACAGTGTGGAAGGTTTAAGGAAAGAAGAAAAGTTTTGGTACAGGTAACATTGAAAGTAGGATAGAAAATCAGGGAAGATTAAAAGGACTGACTTACTAATAGTGAGTAGCCAGTTGAGATTAGATAACATAAACCCATATTCAGTGAGTTGTTCAATACAACTCTTAAGGTTAGGCAGTGATTCCCCCATATAATACCTATTTAGAAAAAATCTTAACTATCTAGCACCCTTAGGAAATAAGTATGGGTAGCTGTTTAGAAGATGGTCAAGGTTTTACCCTTTTAAGTGCTAAAATTCTTTTTAATGATTTTAGATGGAAATATTTCAAAAATGTTTTCCTTACACCTTTATAAAAAAATTTCATTATGAATATTAGTTACTATACTGTGCTATATACAATCCTCAATGGGCTCCCAAACTCCATGGTTTTGAATTTTTGTATATTGTTGGGCCTACTTTTAGTTTATTTTTTTAATATTCTCCTTTGATATCATTCATGAATTCTCAGTGTTTATCAGGGTACCTGTCTATTTCCAGTCTGTTGCTTTTAATCTGCTGTGGGTTTTTGAAACCTATGTCAGTTAGGGTCCCTAACTAGGCTGGATTCAATATTGGAAGGTTCGGTGTACTAAGACTCTCTATGGTTTGTATTCTCACCCAGAAGCCTCCTTTGAGAATAACAGAATCTGTCTCATACCTCTTGAATGACCCTCCAGCTCCCTGCAAGCATCAAGCTTCCAAAACAATAAACATAGAATAGGTTTATTATAAGAATATAAAGAAAAGAAAAGGGATTAACATCCAAGCCCTTCTAGCAAGAATTAGAATTCAAGTTCATGACTAAGAAGTGAAAGAGGCAAAAGGCTCACATTCATATATTATAAATACTTTCTTCAAGAAGATATAAGGCACTGGATATGGTTAATCTCAAATATAGAAAAAAATTGAAATAGATTATATCTTAACAGACAGAAAACAGTTGATTACTAATGTGGGAGTAATTTCTGAATCTGCCTTCTTATGTAGTCAAACCATAGCCTAGCTACTTCAAAAGTAAAAAGTTAACACCAAATTATAATAAAAGGATAAAGATAAGAAGATATTGCATGCAATCACAATAGCTTCATTGAAGCTATTGTGAAAAAAATATTGACTCTGAAAAATGAGGCATGGATAGAGATTGATCCTGATTATCATTATTTCTTAGAGAATTTGATGTAAAGCAGTTGCCAAATAAAAAAGCCAACATTAAGTAAATATTATTAAGGGCCTACATGAAGTACTAGGGATCTAAGACAAAAGAGCCCAGAAACCATCTCAGCCAACAAACATCCTTTACAAATTATGAAAGAGCTTCGGGAAATGAGTTTACAGAGCTAAAATAAGTCCTTTAAATGTTTATTAGTTACTTTTTAGAAATAGGGAAAATATATAGAAAGTAAGAAGGTATAAAAAGGAGATCAGAAATGATGTATGCTAAAAGTCAAGGTTAAGAGAATAGGTAAGAAACACTGTAATGAGTAGATTGCAAATGTTCTTTCTTTCTTTTCTTTTCTTTTCTTTTTTTTTTTTTGACATGTGCACATGAAGGGAAATAGCAAAATAAAACCAAGGGCATTTTGTGTCTTTTTAAAGTGAAAACTTCAGTGAAA